AGAGAGACGCGCTTTAACACTATATTCATATAAACACTTGCACAATATTTGACTATTTGTTTTTGCTGTAAGAGAAAAATTTGACTTACAAACTTGTCAAGTTTGTCAACTGGGATATTGAATCGGGAATCGGGCCTTCCATTTCCGTGCCTTGCAAGTCACTGCATGCAAACAATAAACGGCATGAGAATTTTGTCGCATTTATATATATATATATATATATATATATATATATATATATATATATATCTCTTTGTGAAAATGCAAATGAAATGAAAATTAAAAGCAGACTACTCACAGTCTTACAAGTCTGGTCCAGTTTCCTATAAAGTCCGGTATTTTTCCAGACATTGCGCTCCCGTCGATCCTACTGCACAAGTACGATAAAGTTACGATCTTTATCTAAAATTACGATTTCCCATAAATATTTTAGATTTAGATTCTTTTTTAAATACTGTTACTTACAAATCTGTCAAGTTCCTTAGATTGCCATACGAGACTGGTATCGTCCCGTTGAAATTATTCGCGGAAAGTAGGCTGCAGAGAGAAAAAAAAAAAAAAAAAACTCAGATATCAACAACCTAATTTTATCTCCAAAAATGATAATATTATTTCTCGATGGATATGATCAGCAATCTTACAGTCTCTTCAAGTTGCTCAAACTTCCTAGGTTTGCCGGAAGATTCCCTTCGAGCAGATTATCTTCCAAAACCCTGTCGTGAAGATTCAGACAAACATAATTAGGCTCGACAGATAAAAAAAAAACAATTTTACGTAATATTAATAATCACTTACAGATCTTCTAGAGTGGCAATGTTTCCGATTTCAGCTGGGATTGTACCACTAATACGGTTTCCAATAAGAGACCTATTATATATAAATAAATAATTTAATGTAAGTATATCCGTATGTATAATATATTAAACGGTTTGTAAGAGAAACAAGAAAACAACGTACAGTTGGACAAGTCGAAGCTGGCCGTATATTGCAGGAATTGTTCCGTTGAGGTAATTTCGAGACAAATCTCTGTAATAAAGTAATATTAAGTCAAGTCTTAAAATAAAAAAATTAAAAAAAAATAAAAAACCCGCAACTTTCCGTTACTTACATCTGTTGCAAATGAGTAAGATTTGCGAATTCGACCGGCAATGTTCCGGTCAAATTTAGACCCTTGAGCTCACTGCATGTGGCAAAAAACGGAGTATTAATTAATTACTAATCATATCGTTACAGATACGATTAATGCCTAAGTGTGTGTGTAAAGACGAGGCTTAACTCAATCAAAATAAAAGTCGAGAAAAAAGACGACGTACATGTTGGTTACATGGCATAGAGTGTTGTTATTAAAGGAACAATCGCAAGCGACGCCGCTGTATATTTGTCGGGCCCACGTAGTGTTGAATCCACTAGGTTCGGTGCATGAGCTTCGGCTTAGATTCCAGTAACTATTCTGCAGCTTCGACGAAATCGTTTCGAGAATTCGAACTGCAATTAAAAATGCATGGATTAGAAGTAGGAAGTATAGTGGATAACAAATGATTATTATCAAATTGAGTTCGACTCGATTAGAATAAAAAAATTAATAAATTAATCCCTCCGTTTCAAATTAACTATCGGACTGTCACTTTATAATTCCAATGGTGCATTAATTACCGATTTCTTAGTTTTGCCGTTAAAAGAAAATTAATTGGCACGATATTGTTAGTCACGTTCTATATATTTTCTCGTAAAATATAATCCATCGCATATTTATCAGTTTTCTTAAAACACGTGCGCGTACCTAAAACGAGTATATATCAAAATCAAACTACTCGAACTCGATTCGTCTTCGACTCGGTTAAAAATCATTCAGGCTCGAGACTCAACTGATAATTAAACCGAGCTCCAAGCACAACTTTTTAGACTCGTAACAATTAAAACAAAATGCAATTTCCTTAAACAGAACATCCAGACGCAATATCTCATTTCAAGATCTACAGGTAAATGCTAAACAATAAGAAAATACATTTTATATATTTTCTAAGAACATCACAAAATTAAGAACTCGAAACGAAAATCAAGGGACAAGATTTATAAGGCCTTTTTAAAAAAAATTAAAATAAAAATCAACGAAAAGATAACCCAAATTTAAGTTCTAATGTCAGTAGGGCTAACAACTAGGTGTGGAAATCGGACGGAATGGATCGGAAATGTTTTTTCCGGAAAATTTCCAATTTCTTTTAGAAGTAAAAAATGGGTTCCAATTTCGGTTACAGACAAATTGGAATTGGCAGAATTCGAAAATTTCATTCCAATTTTTATCCCTACTAACAGTAAATTAAGTAAAAGGCTTAATTAATGGCAAAGCAAGAAAACCCTTTTAGGCAATTTTCCTTTTTTGCCCCTTATCTGAATTTCTTACTTCAAAATCTAAGGAGAAAAAATAGTTTGGTTCAGAGAAGCATATACCTTCATCTTCAGACAGAAGTTGAGCAGCAGTTGTCAAAATCAAATTTGCACAGATACATGCAATAATTATTCTTTCCAAGAAATTCGCACTGTTGGAAGCCCTTTTTGCAAGAAACCCCATTAATTTTATTTTTCTTCCCCAAAAAAAAAAAAAAAAAAAAAAAAAAAAGATGATCTTTGGTTCAGTTCAGACAAAAATCAAAACCAAACTTTGTATCGTGCTGCCCAACTAATAATACACACACATATATCTCTGTGTGTATATATATATAATATGTGTGTGTTCAGCGTTTAGGAATGTATTCAAAGAAATGTAGTTTACTTTATTACATAATAAAAGTAAAAAAAGAGCAGAAAAAAAACTATGTTCTGAAACAGGAAAGAAGAAGGGGGTAGTTAGCAATTAGCAGTAATGGCGGGAGGAAAAAAGAAAATAATTAAATAATTGGCAGTTGAAAAGTTAAATGATATCTGAAAGATGGAAACAAAGAAGAAGAAGAAGAAGATGACTGTGTTTGAATGGGTCAAATTTGTTGATCTCGTAAAGATGAAGAGGGAATCATTCATCAATTAAAATATTATTTTGGCAAATTTATTTGTTTGTTTTTTTTAATTATTATTATTATTATTATTATTATTATTATTTTGTTATTTTTTTAATGTATAAAATACAGGTATTTTGTGAGGGGTGGCTGCTGACATAAATGTTTGACGGCAACAGTTTGTTGAATTTTTCCATCATCTGTCCAAACCAAACACGGTCTTAGTTAATATTAAATTATTCCCTGGTTTTGTGTTTGTCTGATTGGTTGAATTCGGCATCCAAAGATTTTGTTTTGGATATTTTTTGTTTATTTTAAGTTGCATTATTTAAAAATATTATTTAAAATATTGTATTTACAGGTGCAAATGGGTTTAAGCTAATTTAAATATTTAATAGTCTTGAAAATCGACGAATCCGATCGAATAAGCACTTTTGGGAAAAATCAATTCCAATTTCGTTCCAATAAAATTGAAAAAGATTGGAAATTGGAATTTCGGAGATTGGAATGATAAAACTTATTCCAAAATTAGAAATTTTCGGGTCGGAATCGGCGGAAATTGAAAATTTCCAATTTTTTTTAAGGCACTTATAATATAAAATGAATAAAATTATTGATATTATAAATGTAATATTTGGAAAAAATATGATCAGAAATTGGAATCCCCTATATATTACAATTTCGATCGAAAAGAACTGGAATTGGATTTTCGGAATTTTGAATGAAAAATATTGTTCTAAAATCGAAAAAATTTGAATCGGAATCAGCAGAAATAAAAATTTCATTCTAATTTCCACCTATATTAGTCAATAAAAAAAGTACAAAACAAAAAATATATTGTTATCCAAATTTGTGTGATATGAATATGATATACTATTTAATTAAGATAATTGGTGAGAATTTACGAGTGGGAGGGCTCGAGGTTGTTTCCCTTTCCTTTATCCAATAATAAAACATCAATATCAAAATTAAATTAAATTAAATTAAAAGTAACTGAGTCCCACTTGGACCAAATTAAATATTATATATATCTATAGTAATTGGTCCCATGGCACAATTGGGATTTAGGTACTATTTAATTGTGAATTAATTGAGTCAAACATTTAGCTCAATCGTCCTACAACCAGGAAATTTCCGAACTTTGAGAATTATTTTATTTTATTTTAGAAAAAAATTATTTTGAGATAATAATTTATAAATGAAAGTAATGTATATTTATATATTAAGAAAAGTTAAAATATAATGAAACAATCAAATCATGTTTAAGAGTTGAAAATTTGAATTTTAGAATAATAGAAAATTAAAGTGTATTAGTTTTTTTTCAGTGAATTTTTTTTAAAAGGTTAAACAAAACAACACGATTTTCATTTCGTGAAAAAAGAATAAATTTGAAATGAAAACATAACCAAACATTAAGGCAATGTTTGGATAAGTTTTCGTTTCACTTTTATTCCTTTCCCGAAACGAAATTGTGTTCGTTTAACTTTTCAAAAAAATTCAAAATAATTTCTGCAGTTTCTCTCTCCTCCAAAATTAATTTAAATGCTATATTAAAAAGAAAAAAATGTTGGGCGCTACAGTAAAAAAAATATTTTCACTATAAAACAAACAAATATCATTTTATTTTTTTAAGAAAATCTTCTAAAATAGCTTTTTACAAACAACTTTAAATATGATTTAATTGTTATAATTTATTTTATCTGATTTAAAATTATAAACAAACATTACTTACACTATCAAATTATATTCCCTCAAAGTATATTTCTCCAAAATATAATAAAAATAACTCCAAAAACCACTGTAAACATTATCGAAGAATCCAATTGAAGCAAACTTTGAGCATAAATCACTATTACTCCAATTAATTCACTTTTTGCTTACTTTCTGCCGGCCTGAAATTTCGACGTTAATCATGCATGCATGCATACGTACTGTTGAATCATGGAATTATTATTGAACATAAAAAAAAGAAAATAACATGTGATGTGATCAACAAAAAGTATGATCAAGTCGAAAATTTAGAATAATCAACATTCATACATAATCAAATATTATACCTACTTTTTACAAAGTTAAAAATAAGGGGAAACTACAGATAAATCCCTAATCCAAAACTTAAAACACAGATCAGTCCCTAGGTAGTTTCCCCTAGCAATTCAGTCCCTACTCACGCGCCTAATATGCAGATCAGTCCCTAATAAAATGTGAAAATACTAAAATACCCTTTACTTTATACTAATTTTACATAACTTCTTTACAACTTCCAACGCGCCGTTTGTGTTACACGCTCTTTGCCCGTTACATTTCAAAAATCAAACAACAAAAAAGAAGCTAAAAAGGCGCAGAAAAAAACCACCGTTCAGTTATACCCATTTTCAGACCAAGAAGAAACGCCAGAACAGAGAAACGAAGAACAGAGAAACAACAAAGAAGGAAGAAATTACGAAGCACGAAGAATCAACAAACCGCAGAAAAATAATAAAGCGAACGGAAAAATAAAAATAAACAAACCCATTTATAAACAATGGTGAAGCAGGGCAAACAACAAGGTTTGATTTTTTATTTTTTTTTCATTTTCTTGGAAACAGACCCATTTGGGTGTTGCTTAAGCAGGGCAAAAAGGTTTATTTGTTATAGAATTTCATGATTTTGAACATATCCACTAATGGGTATTATGCCTCGACTTTATTCGGTGTTTCCCCTAATCATTAAATCGGTTCCAATATTTGTTGTTCTGTTGTTTGGGTTTGCAAAGATCATTTATTTGTTGTCGAATTTCATGATTTTGTAACAGTTTTCTCATGGGTATTATTCTTCGGTGACATTAGCATGTCCCCAAAGCATTTTGAGTCCTAACAAGGGTTTCATATAGGATATGGGAAAAAGGCTTATTGTATTTTTCGTACTGGTTCTATAGTATGTGTCATGCGCAGTAATGGTATTAATAATGCATTTAGATCGTATTAACATGTGGTACTCGAAGTATAATCTTTGATGGTTCTGTAGTATGTGTCATATGCCACAATAGTATTACTAGTGCCTTTGAATGGTATTACTAGTGACTTCGGATGGTATTGACATGTGGTACTAGAAGTATAATGTTTGATGGTCCTGTAGTATAAGTCATATGCCATAATAGTATTACTAGTGCCTTTGAATGGTATTACTAGTGACTTCGGATGGTATTGACATGTGGAACTTTATAGTACGTTGTATTTGTTATAATTGTATTTGTTTTATGTGTATGTAATTGCAGGAATTGTTGTAAAAGAAGATTGCAGCAAGCTATCAATAGGCTGCAGGTGCTCACCGTTCGCCTTTCAAACAACTATGGAAGGTGTGAAAAAAGTGATGAAGAAACAACATTATGAAGTACTGAAGAAAAATCCCTTCTATCACTACATGGACATGCCTAAAATAAACCACAGCTTCCCTAGGGTTGTGTCTCTCATGCAAACGTACAATGCAGAAGATCGGGCCTTCTGGTTTGGGGGAAATACTATACGCTTGGAATTCACTCCGCAGCAATTATCTATCGTATTAGGGTTGCAGTACGAAGGCGTACCGGTGGATGTGAATATGGATGGCAGAGACACTGATTTCATTACACGTACTTTTGATGGTAAGTTATCATTAATGACGAGGCCATATATTGGTTATAAACTGGAGGCCTATGCAGTTATGACCGATCAACAATCTGTTGAAGATTTCAGCAGATTGTACACTATTTATCTGTTTAATACTATTCTACTGCCAAAGGGTAACAAAACGTTAGACAGGTGGGTTTATCCGCATGTAGAAGATTTGGAGGTTTTAGGGTCTTTTGCATGGGGAAAGTTGGTATATGATACTCTTGTTGAGAATATGGAGATGTATCTGAAGGGGGGGTTAAAGTATTTTGATGGATGCACTATCGGCTTATTGGTAAGTGATATCTTATAGTGAATATATATTATATTATATTGAATATACCAATTAATAATGATTCCAAAATACGCAGGCATGGGTGCATGAAAGGATCACGTCACTAGGGGTTTCCACCAGCGTTTACAAATTTCCCCGGTTCTTCCGGTGGCGAGACAGCAAAATCCCAATCGATGAAGAAGCAGCTAGGTTGCTTTTTGATCAGATAAAACAAGTACATGTAACACTTTGAGTTACAAAATATATAATGTATTAGGTATTTGCTAACAAATTTTTTACGTTTATTAGGTTATACCATTTTCTGTGTACCCAAAGGAGAAAGCGTTGCTTTCTCCGGTTTTGGAAGTAATTTCTGGTCCAGTTGTTGGAATTAGTGCTGATAGGTTTGTTGAAATAAGTTCTGAAGGTAGTGAAGATGAGATTGAAGACGTGGAAGCAACACCTGTAAGTCATTAATACAATAAACCCTAAACTTCATACTTCCGTTCACATTGGAACATACTATATGTCAACTAATATAATACTATTGTATAACATGTTTCGTACTATTGTTTTTTTTAGTTGCAGCATAAGAAGAATAACATAAAAAGGAAGAGGGGAAATGTAACAGAAGAAGAAAAAAAAGAAAAAAAAATGCAGAGTAAGAGAAAGAAAGAAAAAAAGAT